TGAAGCAACATCTTACCTAAATCTACTAGTTTGTTTTTTTTCCTTGAAATTTCTAACATGGTCTCAGTATCTTAATTTTGATAGGTTAGCCTTCAAGCACACTATCCACTGAAGAATTTTTGCCTCAGAAAACTATGAGACATTTCAAGTCAATTGAGTTCCAATTGTTTAATAAACAGAGAGAAATAAGAGTTAGTGGTCATACATGGAGCTACAGGATTTGAACACGAACAGGACAAACAAGGGGAGATCTCTCGCTGAGAAAATAATCATTTTTACAATAAGCCGTGACTCAGACTCAATTTATAATCTCAGGAGCATCATAGTATTAAAGTCATACATTAGTAATCTTAAAATCACATCCAAGGTTAAGCAGCTTGAGGAAATTCTTCTACCTTTTCTTCTACCCCATAGGTTTTTTATTTTGTTTTCCATTTTTAAAACTGGTAAACAGATTTAACTTCTTTGTACTTACATGCAAAAATAAGTGGAAATGTGTGGGAGTGCATGTATATAATGTTTGTATCTTTGACTCCTGAGCATACATGTGGCATTGATTGAAATAAAAATCAAATGTCTGCAATTTTCTTAAAAAATAAATTCATGAGTGTGTAATAAATATGGGATCAGAAACAAAGTATTAAAATATATTGTTTAAAACCAGGTTGTCTATGTTGACCAAGGTTCAAAGAAGAAATAGTTTCTCTACACTGAAAGATGTTTTCCTTTATATGTTCAGTACCAGTAGGTCCTGTTAATTTAAGCTTTATATCAGGTTAAGAAGTATCCAGTAATCAAGAATTAGGCCTCAAGCTTGAAATGGTGATGGTGGAAAAAAAGTAACTTAATATAATCAAGATCATCTTTAAAGGAAAGGAAGATAGAAGAAGGACACTGTAAAAGACTTTCTCAAACATGTAACTGGAAGTGTGGAGATGACAATCAGTGATGAAAAGTTTGTTCATTAAATAATTTATATCTAGGGGCGCCTGGGTGGCGCAGTCGGTTGAGCGACCGACTTCAGCCAGGTCACGATCTTGCGGTCCGTGAGTTCGAGCCCCGTGTCAGGCTCTGGGCTGATGGCTCAGAGCCTGGAGCCTGTTTCCGATTCTGTGTCTCCCTCTCTCTCTGCCCCTCCCCCGTTCATGCTCTGTCTCTCTCTGTCCCAAAAATAAAATAAAAAACGTTGAAAAAAAAATTTATATCTATAAAGTAGTATATATAAGGGGAAAAACTCAATAAACTTAGTATATAATAAGAAAGTTATCAATGTGCATTGTCATTACTGATAAAAGAGAAAGATTAAAAAACAATTACAACATGCTGTGCATATCAGGAGGTTTAATTTATATCCATTCTAGGGTAATTAGCTCATAGTTTGCTAAGGACATGTCAATTGTTTTGTACTGCAATAAAAAATCCATTTAAAATTAATGGTGAAGAAAGTAAAAATGAGAATCTAAACCCTGCAGAAAATGCTCTATGGAATATTTAGCACCTTTAAACGGGAAGATCACACAAATCCTAAGATTGATAGAATCCTAAGGTGTTATAATTCTTTCTGTTTTTGTAAATGGAACTTTTTCCTTCAAGATGGATATTTGCCTATATTATTTTAAACTCTATCTAAGTAGAAAGACTCCAAGAGGTTTTGGTGTAATCAATTTTAGCCTAAAAAGATTAGAAAGTCTCTATATTTGATTTATGTTTTATCTTTAAATTTATTTTAGAAAAAAAAAGATAATTTTTTCTTTGAAGTAGATTAGTACCATAGTATTCAATATGTTATAATCCTCATTTTTTTTGATCTGGTCTGAATAGAAATACAAATCACCAGTGAATATGTGTCTTCAAGATGTACTTTCTCCAGGGTCCAAACAATATAAATTTCCAATATATATTACATTCAAGTGATATTAATATTTTTTCAATATATAAAAATTAATTCATCTTTATCACCACTGAGGAGTCAAATTATTTGCAATTAAAAGACATTTTACCTAGGAGCAAATATCTGGTTTTTAATATAGTCAAGAGGTTAAAAAGTGACAAAAAAAGTTCAGAGTGAGAGAATAAAGTCATTATATTTTTGTGGATGTTTATCAGTCATATTTTGGCAAAGGCAGGAGGGAGAAACATATATAATTCAATGTCTTCAGACCATTCCTAGAACAGTTTTTTTTCAATAATTTGTCAGTATTCATAAATAATTTCCCACATATTATTAGGTTTTGGCCACATTTCTTCATTTATGTTTTCCTTTATTTGACAAATCTTTATTGAGTTAATTCAGGACACTGGGGACTATGAGATGGATATGGTTTTCTTAGTCCAGACAAAAATTATGAAGCTCATTGTCTTGAATGAGATAGGCAAAGACCTTTAAGAATCATTTAATGTAGCTTTTGAATAAGTATACTTATGTAAAGCAACATAAAATAACTTATACATGAAAAATACAAATGGCCAGATATGTTTTTATCATAAGACAAATGACCCATTAAATTCAAGAATATCCATTCCAAAAAATGAAGTAATGAAAATTTCATGCAAAAAAATTGCTGGTAAAAAAAATATAAATCTCAGAGTTTGGGGGATAAAATTTGTTTTCCCTTAAGTTGGAAATTCCTAGTCCCTGTATAGGAAGTACCATTAAGAAAAATTTAATATGAATACATGATGCACAAATTCATAAGGTATTGCTATTTTTAAAAAGTAATGCACTTCTACAAGACAATGTATACAAAAAATTATCTTAGCAAGTCACAGATTTAGTTCTGTTAAAAATTAAGCTTTGTATCTTGGGTGTAGCTGTGATTCTAGTACAACTGAGAAATTACACTAAAATTTAATTATTCTCACGCAGCAAACCCAAGTACATATGGAATTTATGTGGTGCATGTGTGTGCACATGGACACTAGAGCATTGCTATCCTTCAGTTACCAAGTAATGGGTAAATTGAATCTTCTCTCAAACACTTCATCTAATGCTACAGATACATATGTATCTGTATACATATGTATATATGTATACGTGTGTGTGTGTGTGTGTGTGTGTGTGTGTGTGTTGGGGAAGAAAAATTTTTGAGAATAGTGGCTGATTCACATACAAGTAAGCAAGAATCCATAGCTGAATGTCATCAGTAAATTCACATTAACAATACTTAGGTTAAATAAATATACTGTGGCTAAGTATATAATAAGATATATTCTATATATATTTGATTTGTCCTTTAATAAACCCTCAAACACACAGACTTATTGGATTCTAGATCTTGATCTTTCCTTCTGTTTTATTCACTTCCTCTAAGTGTGGACATAACAAATACAACATCTACTTATAATCCCCATGTCCCTAACTATAACTAACACTTCCGGATTTATTGGCAATGAAGAAGCCAACTCATATCTCAGTCAGAAGTAAAGAAATGATATTACAAACCAGCTCTGCAATTGTATCATAGTTATCTACCCTTTTGAGGTAGAAAAGACTCATATCACGTGGAAGGTTCCTTAACAGTTACCAGACAATTATCTTATTTGACCAAAACCTGAGCAAGTTTTCATGACAACATTTTTATCTCCCAGGAAGCAGGGACATCAGAGCATTCTCCCCAGGTGACTTCAGAGAAAAACGAACAGTGGGGTACCAGCCAGCCAGCTTTCTGGTCCAATAGGCTAGCTGTCCTCAAAAGAACACAAACTGCTTCCTACCTAGAAATTCTAAAAGTGCATCACTGCTATTCTAGCATTAAACATAAGTGATGGATTTCTATACACATACTTAAGAAAATTTTGAACATTCGTAAATAAACAGGAACTAGAAGAAAAGGAATTTTCATATACAAAAAGAAAGGATGTTCAAAGGAATATATTCAACAATGTTTTATGAAAATAAATTACTGTAATTTAAGGCTATAGTTATAAATCTTTTCAGAATATAATATGCAGTATATTGAAAAGTGCCCAATTCTGTATATTTATGAGTTGAATATGTGTTGAAGAGTCAAAAGTAAGTAAGTAGAACAGTAACAAAATTAATATGAATGTTGATTTCCTGACCTTTTTTTTTTGGACCTTGCATAACAATTTCACATATTTGTGCAAGTCTAAATATTTCCATGAAGACTCTCATCACGTTTTCTGCAATAGTCTAACAGCAACACATTTTCAAATGGATGGCACTAATTACTGAATGTCCCTTCTGACAGTGGCCTAGTGAAAAATGGAAACATGTTTGTGGTAGGGATACAGTGCGCTCATGCTTTGATTCATTTGCTTGTTATTTTAAAAATCTTTTTGAAGGTTGATTATGCTCAGCTCAGTGTCAGGAAACACTTTCTACAGAAGTTCTTCTTGGGTCTCTACCTCTTGTTTTTGTTCACAATAAAGAATGTAGATGTGCAACACACATGTTAATGTATCTATTGATACAATATTCAGTGCAATTCACTGCGAATCCGTACACACTATGATTGATGTAGTCGGGCTGAAATCATCCAGAAGCTGAAAATAAAAGCAGTCATTAAAAAGGGTTGTTTATTTCTCTGTTTTCCAGAGTGTCTGCTTCATATCCATCACCCTGTTAGGAAAGAATCCTGGCTAAGTAGAATTATTAGTATTATTCTTATGTATCTACCAGGCACAGGCATAGGTCTTCCCTAACACTAAAACTGAAATGACTATAAATATTTTTGAGACAAAATGAATCAGATTTAAAAAACTGTATCAGAAAAAATATGGTTAAAGATAGAATCAATAATACCAAGTTATTAATCACTCTTGTGAAGAAAGCATACCTGGAAAGGAGAAATTGTGTGCTTAAATGTTAGCCCTCATATGGACAAGGCAAGGCTTAAAAATATCTCTTATATTGTGGTTATCTACTGACATATTTGCTTGTCTGATTTGTTTTGGGATGTGCTTAACAGCCAAATGGTCAGATCAAGGTAAAGAAGAGATCAGCTGCAAAAGTTCAAAATCACAGCTTCCTCTCTTACCTTCCACTGAGGAGGAAGCCGATAACCACTGCCAACAAAATGACTCCCACTGTCACAGACACAGCAATTATAGGAATCTGGCTTTGATCGCTGGAGGCTGCAACTGCTGATAGAAGACACAGAAAACGGAGCCCGCGGTTAAAGAGATCATATGCATTCAAATAAGAGCTGCTTAATAGTCGGTAATCGATGCATGGTTTAAACAATTCACCCACACTTGGCCGAGATTTCCCCCTAATATCTCTGCTCAATGGTGTGTAATTGAAAAGACATCTTTAGGAGAAAATATTTACTCTCCAAATGGAAATTTGAAAGAATCACTAAGTCACTGATTATTTCCTTGTCATCATAAAAAATGAATGTAATTGTTTGCATAGTATTTATCTAGGGATCTTAGGTTTGCAAGATAAAATGAAACTTAGTCCTTAATACCAAACCCCTTACTCTAAACAGGAGGTGCTAAGTATCCGAGATATGACATTTTAGAGTTTGCATGTGGCTGTTTCTAGGAGAAAAATCTTGACACCTCAGACAGGGTTTTTTTCCCATAGACATACGTTGAAGTCCAAAATATTGCGGTTATGGCTTCAGTGAAGTTAATATCATATTCTGAATATAATTTTAAAAATCGTAATTTCTAGCAGAATATCATCCGTGAGTATACTTTATATATAGGACTCTTTTTTGAAAAATATCAAGACATACACTTAAAACTTTGAGAAGTCTACAGTAAGATTAAATTCATTTACATCATCTTTTTTAAATACATGGATTTAGATGAAATATTATATATTTTAACTGTACAATTACCATAATAAAAGGAATACGGACATGTTAAGATAGTTGTACTAAATAAGTATGGGGATATTTCTTTCATGCTGATATCTGCACTGTGTTATAATAAGAACGCTACAGAGCAAAATTAATTTTACTAATGTTCTCAAGAAACCCTCAATAAGATACCTACCATGCTATTGTTTAACAAAATCATCACTTTGATTAATTCAGAGTGGCATTAGTTACCCTTCTTAACAAATTTTAAGTCGTCAAGAGTAATAACAACTATAATTTCCCTGTTTTGCTTCCTAGAACCCTTTACCAGCTATTGGCCCCATCAATAGTTTTGGACATCCAAACATTTCCCTTTCTATTCTTGTCACCTCTCCCTTGATTCTTTCAAACCAAAATTGACTTACTCTCTGACCACTTCTTGCATTTGATCTACAATTTGATCTTTTAGACCAGTCTTCAGACCCAATATCACTAGTAGCTTGTTCATGTACAAGAAAGACTCTTATTGACAGTCTAAATCTATGTTCTTACCCTCCCTTTTCTTGGATAATAATAGTTGCAGTTCAATGGTTCTTTATCTTGATTTTCTCCTTTATTCTCTGATATTGAGATCTGTGGTAGGTAATTTAAAACTGCTGAGCAGTATAAATGTGTAGGGCAAAGCTACTCCACTATCACTAGTAACCTTCCCCAAGGTTTGCTTTATTAGTCTCTAAACTCAGATTACTTATAGCATTGCTTTTCTCGGTTCTTTAATTTTCTTTTTGGCAAGAGGCAATGTTTATAGAAAAAAACATGCAGACATGGTCCACATACATTCAATGTTATTTTTATTAGGCTCTAACTGCTGTTCCAATATTTTTTATTCTCTCTTCTTAATTTCCTAACAAAATCATCATAATGAGTCTTCCTCATTTTCTCAAAACACTAATCTATTACGATTTCTCACGTTTCAATAATGTTAAACTGTATAGATTAAAGAGCAATCAAGTCTGAACTCTATGGTTAAATAAAACTGGATGGTTATGTAGTTTCCTTTGCTTCACCTAACTCCAATTTTAGAATCCTTCCTATCTCTTCCAAGACATGGCTCCTTCAAAGGTCTCCCTCCAGGAGATCTTTTATCCAGGAGTCAATTATAGGCTACTTGTCTGCTACCTCCAAGCCTGAATAGATATTTGTTCTTAGTGGAAACAAATCCTTATACCTAAACTTACTGATGTTGGTTCAACTTAAATTTGAAAACAGGTCCAACATTTACTAGGGATATAGGCCAAAGCAAAGTACTTAACTTTATCAAGGCTCATTTCATTAATCTCCAAACAGGAATAATTTTCCTGGATCATTATAATTCTGTTTAGAGATAATATTTAGCACAGTGCTTCGACTATTGACAGCTTTAAATAATTAGTAGATATTATTTTTACATATTGTTATCTTCTGCTTTATCGAATTATTCTTTCCTATTTAACACCTTGATTGTTATCTAGAGCAGTATTGTTATTTTTATTTATTTATTATTTATTATCATCTGATAACCAACATTATTAAATTCCCTCTGCAACTTATCTTCTTCTGCCTTTGAGTTCTATGCATGACATTCTTGCTAAACACAATGAGTACTCTTCCATTTACTTTACCATGCATCATAAGGTATTTGCCTTTGTTGAACATAAACTTCAACCTTGAGGCTCTGCTTCGTCTTGGTTTATAGAACATCAGATGAGGCGTTTTTCCCCTTTTCCCCCACACTGTAGCACTACTTTGTCAGTTCCGTTGGCTCCACATTCTCTCCCTACATCTTCTTCATGAACAATTCCTGATGAATGCTCCTGATCCTCCACACTTCTCTCCTTACTCTTTAATCTTTTTCTGTCTTTCTCCCTTCCTGCTTCCTTTTCTCTCTACCTCTTATGGGTACTTTTATGCTTATGACATCAGTTAACTCTAAGCTCAAGAGTCCCAAATTTATATTTACAACTCTTACTTTACTTCACTTCAAAGCATGACCCTATTAAAAGAAAACAAAAACAAAAACTACTTTCCTTTTATTTGGATTCATTTTCATATACAAATAGCATTTTTATACCACATCCACCCCAAGGACATTAACAAAAACACATCAATAAATAAACACCATAAATCAAACCACAAACCAGACTAATTTGATCTCTCTTCTTCTGGTTTCTTTTAACTATCACTGAATTTTTCTTAACTCCTACTTGGCCATTAATTACCAAACATTTTTGTGTTTCTTCTGTTTTTTCCCCACAAACTATATTTCTTTTGTCCAACATTCACCTATTTGATTCAAATCTACTGGACTATTGTTCACTGGTTTTATAAATGTTCCCTTTGCCTTCTATGTGTTCACATAAACATCCAAAAATATCACTTTGATCATGTTTCTCTGATCAAAAATTTAATAAATGCCTACTACCTATAAAAAAAATTCCCAAATTCTCCATCTAGACTTCAAAAGCCCTTTTAAACAAATTCTAACAAATCTTTCTTGTCTCAATGGGCCATTTTGGGAACTCTGAGATATCATTTTGGAGAAAGGGGGCATGATTAATCAGAGGTAGGGATAAAAACAGGGCAAATTCTGGCTAACCACACTATTAATTTTGAGAAAAAAAAATACTGGTGCTTAGTACTGTCAAATGCTTCATTTTTAACAATTGACAAGATCTAATCTAACAATATATTAAAATATGCACCTAGGTATGGGATATTATCTTGCAATAAAATATTTTTAATGGCATACTAAAAGTTTCAAATGATTAATACATTTTATGAAAATATTTTGTTAATAATGCCAAATCACAAGCATTCACATTTACATTTTTTCCTCTACCGTTCACTTAAATCAGATAGTTTTGTATATTAGATAATTAAATCAAGGGCCTATGAGGAAGAATTTCAATAATACATTTTCATTTTTTAAAAAATGTGCAGCTTTGGGGTGCCTGGGTGGCTCAGTCAGTTGAGCATCTGACTTCTGCCCAGGTCATGATCTCATGGTTCGTGGGTTCGAGCCCTGTGTCAGACTCTGTGCTGATGCCTCAGAGCCTGGAGCCTGCTTCGGATTCTGTGTCTCCCTCTCTCTCTCTGCCCCTCCCTAGCTCATGCTCGCTCTCTCTCTCTCTCTCTGTCAAAAATAAATAGACTTTAAGAAAAAATGTGCAGCTTTTCCTAAGTTCCTTGATGGGCTTTAATTATTTTATTATTTCAAATGTATTAATTATTTTGTGAGCTATTTCTAATAAAACATAATTCATCAAGATTTTATACTATTTTTTCATTGTTTGCCCTGACAGCATCAATTGTATCCCCAATATATCAACTAACTTGAAAATATATAGAATTGATAAGGTAATGTCAATGCCTTCATACATTTTCATTCTTTAGCACCAGAGGAAAAAAAAATTATAAGCCCAGTATGATCCATGATTATTACTTTAATATATTATTAAGTTTTTTAATCTTTAAAGATAACAAATTTCTAGTCCCTCACATTTCCTATTTTTTTAATCTGTGGTGTATTTTTGGAAGAATAATTAAGGAATGTTTTGGGAATGCTTAAAAGCAAATTTGGGGCAATGTAACACACTACTATTAAAAGAATATTAATTATAGACACTAATATTCTTTAGTAAATAATGTTTATTTTTCAATAACTATATACTTACATTATCCCGGGGAACTTTAAGCTAGTATATACTGAGAAGTCATGTTGCTTATCTCATTTTGTTTCTCATACTCCATATTGTGTAGATATTCTCCACATTTTAGCTATATATTTAGATAGTTAATCATGAATCTGAAAAGATTTGTTAAAGCCAGATTATGAGGGTTTTTGAAGGCCCGGCTGAAAATTTGGGGTCTTTCTCCCACACACAGCTGTAACTATCTATTCATTTTCTTGATTAAGATAATTTGATCAAAGCCATAATTTTTGATATGCAATATGAGCACATATGAATTAATGGGGAAATTTATAACAACCTGGGTGGGAAATACATACATGAAAAGATGGCGAACATCATTAGCCAACAGGGATTTCAAATTAAAACCATAATGAGATATCACTAGCCACCTGTCCAAAATGCCTAAAAGAAAAATACAGTGATAACAGCAAATGCTGATGAGAAACTGATCACTCATACACGGCTGCATTGCTGGTAGGACTGTAAAATAGTACAGCCACCCTGGAAACTCTTTTGGCAGTTTCCCACAAAATTCAAAATTAAACATAAAATTGCCATATGACATAGCAATTGTACTCTTGAGTATTTATCCCAGGTAAATGAAAACTTAGGTGATGTAAAAACATGTCAATGAATATTCACAGCACCTTACTCATACTAGCAAAGATTGGTACCAGCCTAGATGTCCTTCAATAGGTGAATTGTTAAACAAATTGTGGCCCACACATACCATAGAATACTACTCAACAACAAAAAAAGAAGCAAGCAACTTGCAGGAATCTCTAGGAAATTATACTGAGTGAAAAAAGTCAATTCTAAACTATAAGGTTGCATACTGTATGATTCCATTTATGGAACATTTCTGAAATGTCAGAATTTTAGAAATGAATGTTTAGAAATTAGTGGTTGTCAGTGATTAGTTATGGGACAGGAGCTGCTCCCAAAGGCCATTGGTATAGTTATAATAGGGCAACCCGAAGGTACTTTATGGTGTTGGCACTGTGAAGTATCTTGACCATGATGGTAGATATAAAGACCTACACAACTGACCAAATTGTATCGAACTTAATGCACACACACACACGCACACACACACATGCCTACATCATACACACATAAAAAAGGGTACAAGGAAAGTTGAGTAAGATTGGTGGATTGCATCAATGTCAATATCCTGATTGTGATCTTATGCTATAGTTATGCAAAATGTTACCATTGGGAGAAACTGAAAAAATTGTACAAGAGTTCACTCTGTATCATTCCCTGCAACTTCATGTGAAACTACATTTATCTTAATAAAAATATAATTTAAAACACAGAATAACTTTATTTCAGCAATTTGGTTATACAGATTTGAATCAAGTAGGTAAGAAATGGATAAAAGGAAGTAATGAATTGGAGAAAAAATCATAAAAGAAGCATGAAAGTGTTGGTAAATCTTGGTGAGTGGGAGTTAAGAAAGGTTCAGTGATAGTCTCAAAGTTTCAAGAGAATTTATGTTAAAAGAAACAAGAAAAAAGAGCTAACTTGATTGGCTGGATAGTTTCATTCATGCTAGGTTTATTTGCTGGTGTGTTTTAACATTACTGTTGGGGAAAGGAATGATATACGGGGCCAATTTTAAATATTTATTTGTATGCATAACAAAAATAAAATAGAATGGATACTATGCAGTTATAAGATAGAAACTAAAGCTTGAGAAAGAATAGTTTAAAATTTTCCACCCAAATCCTCATTTGAAATAGTCTTTCTAAAATAAAGATTTTTGCATTCCTGTGTTTATGTTTGCATTTGGTTTTAGGACTATATTAATGACATATGTGATAACATACATGAAAAAGAAAAGCCCATCATAAAAATTTTATGACCTATGTATAATATAAATTAAATATTATAAATTTTATAAACTAATCAATGAATAACATCATGCATCATTATTATGAATTAAGTATCCAATTAGAAAAGTCTTTTTACAATAAAAAAGAATGGAATCATGCCATTTGCAGCAACATGGATGGAACTGGATGGTATTATGCTGAGTGAAATAAGTCAGTCAGAGGACAGATATGTTTTCATTCATATGTGGATCTTGAGAAACTTAACAGAAGACCATGGGGGAAGGGAAGGAGAAAAAATAGTTACAAACAGAGAGGGAGGGAGGCAAACCACAAGAGACTCTTAAATACAGAGAACAAACTGAGGGTGGATGTGGGGTGTGGGAGAGGGGAAAGCGGGTGATGGGCATTGAGGAGGGCACTTGTTGGGATGAGCACTGGGTGTTGTATGTAAGCCAATTTGACAATAAATTATATTCATAAAAAAAGGAAAAGTCTCTTTAAAGTGTATGTTCAAGATAATGATTTTCAGATAATTTTGTCTTAACATACCTGAATGATAAGATAGTATTCACTTAGTAATGGTGACTCACTAAAGCCAATATTCTTAATTGTGACCCACCAAATGAAAATACATACACCCACATATTTGACATTTCACACTACTCCTAGTGTTATTTTCTTCATAACAAAACTTTTGTGTCTTCTTCTAATCCTACTTTTAATGCGTGCTCTAGGACAAGTAATCAATTGTTTGACATTAAAGAGAAAAACGTTTTATGCTATTTTATTTGAAAAAAAATGTTGCAAGAAGTGTTTTCCAGAAACATTTCTAGATCCTTCACTCAAAGATGCTGCCAGAGATGTTGATTTTTTAAAACAATCAGATTGGTTGCTGAGAGCACTATTTTCTTGCCAAACTTAATACTAACAAATGCTCCCTGTAGAATTTTCATAGAAAGACTAAGCCTGGTAGCATTGTTCAATAAAACAAGTAAAAATAAATGGCAATAATTCAATAAAGTATGGCAGCCGTGGAAGGAAAGTCTTTAAAAGCAAGGTTTAAACATTTCTTAAGGATCTCCTGATGTTTCATCTCCCAGTAGACTAAATGTGATGAGGAGCAGGGACCGATGTGTTAACCTACCAACCTACCATAATAGCATGACAGATGCTTCCTACCTGAAGGGGTCATGCCTGGGAGAGAGAGGACCAGGAGACTGACAGAATGCCCGGAGAGAGTATTGATCCACTGACTCTTTTCTGGTAACCATTACAGAGACATGAGTTGACAGTAATTAAAATGACTTACACACTGGGATGGTTTCAAACTCAAATCTTCGACTGAAGACACCATAGCCTGCTGCTGTGCGTGCTCGAATCTGGAAGACGTATACTGAAGCTGGCTTCAAGCCCTCTGCAGTTACAGTTGTCTCTTTAGATTTGATAATTGTATAGCTGGTTTCTTGGTCCTTGGATTACACATGTACATACAATAAAAAAGTCAACATGTGAATTACTAATGACAACAAAACTTAGAATCATAAATCAGAAAATAAATCAGAAACTAATAGACTTGCTATTAGTACACATACAATCTTTTAGAAAAAAAAAAAACTATACACCCTAGGTGTGCTATCTATATGATATCTAAAAGTGTTTTCTAGAACTCAAAATTGGTGGGTAACATGTTCTCCACTCATCCACCATACTTGTCTTTGGCAGAAATAAATTTGTAAACCTTTAGTATATGTGCTGCCGAAGCGAGCACAATTTGTAAACCTTTAAATATGATTTTCAGGAGATAAAATTGTTTTAACATGTATTTTTTTTTTTTGAGAGAGAGAGCGTGAAGGGGAGGGGGAGAGAGAGAATCCCAAGCAAGGTCCATGCTGTTATCATGAACCCCGATGTGGGGCTCAAACTCACGAATCATGAGATCATGACCTGAGCCAAAACCAAGAGTCAGTCACTTAACCCACTGAGCCACCCAGGCACCCCTGCAGGAGATAAATTATTTTACAGACTCTATTTTAGTACTGGTATTCATATGCTTATGTTTCTTATAAATATTTTATTGGAGCACATCTAACATGTTGCCTGTTCATGGAGTAAGGTGACAATGTTTCATATATCACCAGGTAAGTCTTATGCTTTATATCTTTGGTGAGTTTCATTTCTAATTATATTTAGGGCTCGGGAGAAGGAATGAGTACTTGACTGGAGAAATTTAATTTCAATTCATTAAGTCCAAATGGATTACTAAAGAAAAACTGCAAATAAACTTTTTTTTTAAAAATTTTAAACACTTTCTATTTTTTCACGTTTATGTGTTTGAGTTGGATGAGTAGTGAATGGAGATGCAGTGAAAACAAAATCACTGTAAAGATAATTTTAGAAACGAAAACAAATAGGAAACTGTTCCTATTTTGACTGCTACCAAAGTCTAGACTAACTGTCTGTAATTTATCTCTGAGATTACCACACTGAATAGAAAATCTTAGACCTACAAAGATCTAAACACACAAAGTCCCTGTTTTGAACTTTCTTCTCCCTTGTATTTTTTCTGTGTGAATTCTTGGCTAACGTTGTTTTTGGCTGATGGTGTTTCTACACTTAATACATTTCTGACGGATATTAAAGAATGAATTCATGGAGATAATGGTCAGAGATTTTTTTCCCTCTGTTTGTGGGAACTGTCTCTATTTACAGTATCTTGATTGATGACTATAAACCATTTTCAAGATATTTCAGAGAATTTTATTTTATAATTAAAAACATGCACTGATTATTTTTTAAAATATAATGGGAATAAGATGTAAAGGATTTTTTTCTGAAATGAGAAAAGAATTGAAAACAAGAATGTAACAATTCTTTCTTAAGCCCTCTAATAGGGAATATGGTTATTAGTTAATCTTAATAACACTATTAAAATGCAAAATAAATGCAAACCATGCTTTCATGTTGCATGTAACTTCAACTTTCCTTGAAATTTACAATCGATAGCAGCATGTCATGTTGTGACTTTAGTGTGGACACTGAAATCACGTGCTAAAATAACACAAGTCCATGTTTACTTTTATCTTCAGTTTCCTTATCTGTAAGATTGGGGTAGAAACTGATGCCTGGATATTCTCATAGAGATACTGTAAGAATAAGTAAGTAATGCACATGAAAACATTTAATAAGCTATAAAGCTATGTTTTCATTGCCATTATTATTTGAGATTTTTTCTAATTGGACACATCAAAGTCCACTGGCAGTCATGATCTACAGAACATGTACCACCAGTAAAATCTAAAATATACAACCTATTAGCATTTATTTGTTTTAAAGAAGGTTTACCATTCCTCATTTAATATAGTCAAACATATAGAATTATCTTAGGGTTAAATGTATCCCAATTTCCACCTAAATAGAAATGTTCTAATTTTTTTTTTAATGTTTATTTTTGAGAGAGGGAGACAGAGTGCGAGTGGGGGAGGGGCAGGGAGAGAGGGAGACACAGAATCTGAAACAAGCTCCAGACACTGAGCTGTCAGCACAGAACCTGATGTAGGGCTTGAACCCACGAACCCTGTGATCATGACCTGAGCCCAAGTTGGATGCTTAACTGACTGAGCCACCCAGGGGCCTGGGATATTCTAATTTCTAATGCAAATAGGCTTTCTGATTCATTCTATGTGAACAATTATTTTTTTTTTAATTTTTTCAATTCACAGATTAAATTTAATTGCTGAATCTTTATGGTATAGGAAATATTATTAGAGTCTTACAAAGAATTTAAACTAGGGTCATTAAAGCCTATAAAATTTTACCTAGTAATGTCAGTCATTTTCTTTATTCCCATTCACTGACTTTCTCCTATATACTCTATTATCCCTTCTCTACACTAGGAAAAAAACAGTAAAAAAGCACACAATTTCTTGAGGTGTTCCTTTTAAAAGAGGTAAACTATTACTAGAAACTACTCATGTACTTACTCATGCTCTCTGGCTGCTCAAGCTTGTGACTAAATATGCAAGAAGATTATATTCAATAAGATTAGTGAGAATTTCAGTGAGAAATGTTAACTTGCATTTTGTTTAAAGATAAGCTGGTGTAGGGGCACCTGGGTGGCGCAGTCGGTTAAGCGTCCGACTTCAGCCAGGTCACGATCTCGCGGTCTGTGAGTTCAAGCCCCGCGTCAGGTTCTGGGCTGAGGGCTCAGAGCCTGGAGCCTGTTTCCGATTCTGTGTCTCCCTCTCTCTCTGCCCCTCCCCCGTTCATGCTCTGTCTCTCTCTGTCCCAAAAATAAATAAAAACGTTGGAAAAAAAAAATTAAAAAAAAAAAAGATAAGCTGGTGTAAAAATCTAGACAAAACCAAAGTTTCTGATATATTTGTTATAATTATGATTTTCACATAAAATATTGACATTTATTGGGGTGCATGGGTGGCTCAGTCAGTTAAGTTTCCAACTCTTGATTTTAGCTCAGGTCACGAGCTCATGGTTGGTGAGTTTGAGACCTGCACTGGGCTCTGTGCTGATGCTGAGACTCCTGTTTGGGATTCTCTCTCTCCCTCTCTCTGCCCCTCCCCTGCTTGTGTGTGTTTTCTCTCTCTCTTTCTCTCTCAAAATAAATAAATAAACTTTAAAAAAGTTAACATTTATTATAGAAATGGAGAAGGTTTTTTTTTTTTTATAAATGAACAGGGAATATCAGTGTTAGAATTCAAGTCATGCTGTTGTCTAATGAAGAGTATAAATATGGATACACAACTCAACTTCAATTTTTTCTTCTTTAAAATGATAAGAATTATTTATCAAGCACAGTGTGAGCACATAGAGATGGAGATAGAGATGATGTACATAGCACCAAGCTCAATCTCCATAACATAACAGTTTCTAGGTAAATTTGACTTGAGTCTGTAGCATGATGGCAAATTTAATAAAAAGAGAAAAAAATTAAAAGCTCCTTGTAAATTCCTAACTATTGAGGGATGCTTGGGTGGCTCACTCAGTTAAGCGTCTGACTTTGGGTTGGGACATGATCTTGCAGTTCGTGAGTTTGAGCCCCATGTCAGGCTATGTGCTGACAGCTCAGAGCCTGCAGTCTGCTTCAGATTCTGCCTCCCTCTCTCTGTGCCCTCCCCCACTCACACTCTGTCTTTGTTTCTCTCTCTCAAAAATAAACATAAAAAAAATTAAACTCCTAACTACTGAATTCAGAATTGATATGTTTTGTAAAATTATTATAAATTGATACTTTGGCCAAACAGGGGGGAAATTCCCATTACAAGGAAACTGGCATGCTGCTCCTTGAAATAATGCGTGATCTAATATCAATTGCACAAAATGACACAGCATTCTGATTTATATATTAACATTATGTGTATCTCAGTGGTTCCTTATCTGAGTTCTAGTTGTACTTTGTCTCTCTGGGGTAGTCAAATGCTATATAATCAGAGGGACTCACCAAAGCATGTATCTAAGGGATTGAAAACCAAAAATGCACATTTTGAATTACCTAAGTAGCTTCCAAAATTTGCTTCTGTCCCACTCCTTTTAGTCATTGCTGTACTATAATTCCCTTCATATCACAAACTCTATATACACATCTTCAAACCCACGACCATCAGGCTGCCAAATCCTGGTCAGGGCAATGGCTTTTGCTGCCTTCATACTCCTGCTGAGCAAATGAGCTACATTCCCCAGCTGCTTAGCAAACACTGTTCACATGCAGGGAGGGGAGGGCCTGGGCAGAAGGAGCCAGCTGGCAAACACCCTGCCAAGGGGCAGCTTCCCTTTGCCTCTGCCTTTAATTAAGAGATGGCAATGGGCCCATCACCATACAGGAGCAGAGAGGCCCAATGACCTCTATTAGAGCAGGGCAATCGCAGGCAGAAATGCCAGCTGGCAAATGCATGAGCCCTGGAAAGCTCTGCCACCTGTGTCTGGACAAGAGCCATCCAATAAAACGGTGGTGTCATTCTGAAGGTTCAAAATGAGCTCTGGAAACCTATAAGCACCCCCACCTCAATACATGCTATAAAAACTCATTATCCTTTTTTTTCCTTCTGAAAGTGTTAAAAAAAAAAAAACTTTCATGTGTTTTATTAGTATGCTCAATAATTTTGCTTGGCAAAAATTTCTGGGAATTAATATTTTCACTGTAAAAATGAAAACACTGACCAAAAGAAATTAATGACTTCCTCCAAATAACATATTATATAAAGGTTTCACTGCTTTTAACGGATGTAAGTGGGCAACTTTCTATTCATTTACTGAAACTACGTACAGAAATATTTTTCCCAAATTATTTTTTCTTACATTGAGTTATGCAGATAATAGGATGTATTAATACAGCATTAAATATAAAATATTAAACACAGAACTAAGTTTTCATGAAATAAGTATATTTAAAAAAATTGAACTTTCAAGAAAATAATGCCACATGTATAAAATTCATTAGAAGGAATATTAAGAGAAAGACTCCCCCACCACTTGGTTGAGAAACTTTTCTTTTTTAATGGAAGCAGTAGCTTACAGAAAAAAAAAAAAAGATAAATCCTTGCATTTATTGAGTATTACATATATGAGACTTATGTATATGCTGAGGAGTAATAGTGAAAACAATGAACGATTACTCATAAGGGGTAAAATAGGATAATATCATTAGACACGATAAAGAAAATCAAACCTTGGTCCAACTAGTTGCTTCAGGGGAAGAAAAACTATAAAGAAAAATAACTCCCTGTCAAAGTTTAGTCCTCTTGCTGTCAAACTTTATTTCATCTAAGATGTATATTCAAATAAAGAGTTTTGGCGCACTGCTATTTTTCTCTGATTTTTTTTGATACTCCCTTTTATTTATCTAGTTTTTTTTAAAGAAGGCTCTATGCCCAATGTGGGGCTTGAACTCATGACCCCAAGATCAAGGATGGCATGCTCCACTGGCTGAGTCAGCCAGCACCCCTGGGGCATATTTATTTTTAAATGTCATTATGCATTTCAACTTTTTAAAAAATAAAGTTCATTTACAATAAATATTTAGAAACTTAAAATATTTACAAAATATTCAGTCTACATATTCAGCTTTGTGTTAGTATACCATATTAAAATTTACAAAAAAAAAGTAAATAAGGAATGTAAACCTTAATTTAACAAATTATTTTTGGATACAGCATGCATTTAAATTGTAGACCTCTAGAATTTACAATGCAATTTGGAGTACTACTCCCAGAAAATCAAGAATCAGTGAGGATTATTAACGTAACCACATTTTCCTTGATTTACCTGCTTATTTTTTATAACAAATAGTATAAATGAGATCCCAACACAATATTTTTTAAAATTTTATTTTTGATAATCTCTCCACCTACTGTGGGGCTTGAGCTCACAAACTCAAGATCAAAAGTCACATGTTCCATCAACTGAGCCAGCCAGGTGCCCCTATCCCAACATAATTTTGTCTCATGGGTATTTGAGGATATGTTTTTTATGAAATAGAAGTATCTTCATTTATGGTCTCTAATGATCGAATAGTCATTTGTAATGCTACGAGCAAGTCATTCCTAGAAGGATGACTACTTCAAAAGTAATAATTAACAGTTTATTCACCTATTTAGAAAATCAATATAAGAACATTTTATAGGCATTCAAAACCTAGAAAGAATGTGTAGACAGCCCCTTTGTCCCCCACTACTGTTTTTACCCTCTGTCATTATCTTTTGGTAATTGTTAAATCAGTGAGTGAAATAAGCAATTAAAAAAAAATCTCTGTGGGGCACCTGGGTGGCTCAGTGGGTTGGGCCTCTGACTTTGGTTCAGGTCATGATCTCATGGTTCGTGGGTTCCAGCCTGGCATTGGGCTCTGTGCTGACAGCTCAGAGCCTGGAGCCTGCTTCAGATTCTGTGTCCCCCTCTCTCTCTGCCCCTCCCCCACTCATGCTCTGTCTCTCTCTCCAAAATAAATAAACATTACAATTTTTTTAAAAAAAATCTGTATAATGCTAGGCATTAATTTAACATATTTCAATGTATTTACCTATACTCTTCCTTCCACACATGTACACAGAATGTTGAAATTTTAAGTAACTTTCATTAATAGAATATAAGTACTTTTTCTGATATTTTTGCATTAATACTAGGAAACCACTTATTCCCTCTCTCTTTTCCGATGTCCTAGCCTGGACAATTTCTGTGGCATTGCAAAGTAAGTTTTTAACTTCTTCCTACCCTCTGCACTATCCCTCTAAGAGAAGGAGTAATGGCTCCATGAGGTTAAGGAAAGCAAATTGAGCAGGTGTGGCTGAGTCCTTTCTTTTTCTTTTGGGATCTGCTTCTCTGCATATGTTTCTAATCTTTTCTACTCCTACCTACATAGGATACATACTCTCAGTCAGAGTTTCCTACCCATCAGTGATAGTCTGGATTGAGCACACTTCTATATCTCCTCTACTAGAAGCCATGTTGTTTTAAGGAATGTTTGCTATTCAGATCCAGACTTATTAAAAAATCAAAGTAAAATGGGGGGTGGGAAGTGTAGGAAGACCCCTGGTGACTACATATCCAAGCTATATACTAGAGTTCTGCTTTAGAAATTTAAGTTCACCTTTATATTCCATCTGTACTATTTCTTTATCAATAGCTCACTTGGTTGTGAATTCAGGAAAGAGGAAGAGGGATAACTATTGCCTTTAGATCTCACAACTATTATGTCAAAACATGCAAGAGTGGGCCTAAGGAAAAAAGAAATTGAGAAAATGTAGAGAATGTGAGGCATACAATTCTGATTTTGTGCCCTCAAATTTTAAAATAAAGTTTACAATACAGTATTAGATTTTTGATATGGATTTTAAAATTATATTTTATATTCATATCTTATCTACCCATATCTACTTAAGAGCATAGGTATTATGCAGCGTTAATGGCCATAACCATATGTGTTTTTCCCTGTCGTACATGGCAGTCACTGGTGAAGGTCAAGAACTTAAGTGCAACACCTCAAAATGTCCCATGACATCATTTTTTAATACTGTGAAACCTAGTTAAGCTTATTAGACTCTATGGCAGTAGTGTGCAGCATAAAGTATTCGGCATTAATGGAATACAAATAGAATGCGCCCTATACACGTCTAGCCTCCATAATCATGTCATTGATCTACACACAAAATTGCAACATACATTTCTAAAAATTGGATAATTGCAGTTGCTAAAGTGAAACAAAGAAGAAGGAGGAGAAGGAGAAGGAGAGGAAGGGAAGGGGAAGAAGGGGGGGAGAGGGAGGGTGAAGAGAATGAAGAGGAGAAGGAGGAAAGGAGGAGAAGAAGAAAGGACATTCTTTATTCTATTAGTCTCACCTTCTCAAAATATTTAATTTCATACTCCAGGATGATTCCATTGGGACGATCTGGCTCTTGCCAAGACAAAGAGATACTGTTTTTTGCAATCTTCCCCTTTTTCACATTGGTGACTGGAGAGGGGGCTGCAAAATAGTATAAATAAAGAATTGCATGATTAACAGAGTCCTGAAATTACAAGGTGGTATAATTTATAATGGCATTCTTAGTATATAATATAATTATATATTAACAATTTAGCAAAAAACTGAATAAACAATTAAATTTTCTTTCAACCTGAAAACAATTTTACTTTCTCTACGTAATAAAAATGTTTATAGACTGTAAAGTGTGTTACAAATATAAATCAAGTATCTTGAGAATTTTTTAAAACTATAGTCATATAGAATCCTACATCTACATTTTTTTCTTTGAAGTTTAGAAACATAAATGAACTATCTTACTCTCCTTATGGAATAAAGATGTTTTTGATGACCTTATATATCTTCCATGTTTCTAAAATGTATTGACTCTATAATATATCCCATTAAGCTAGTACACATGATTATCTATATTACCATATTTTCACAACATTAAGATTCTTTTATAATTTTATAATGATATGGGTCCTATAATCCTTGATAAAATCATATCTTAAATATAGTGAGGGTTGCCTTCAAACATGTGATTAAACTTGTAATATTTCTCGAAAACAATAGCAGAAAAAAATCTGATCTGAAAGATTTTCCTCTAAAGTAAGGAGCAAGAAAATGATGACTATTCCTACAACTTTTACTAAATATAATATTAGAAGTTATAACCCCAGCAATTAGGCAAGAAAAGGAAATAAAAGACATCCAAATTGGAAAATAAGTAAAAGTGTCACTATTTGCAGATGACATGATACTTACTATATATAGAAAAAGCTAAAGACTCTACCAAAAATGCTATCAAAACTAAAATTAATTTAGTCAAGTTCCAGGATATAAAATGAATACACAGAAATCTATTGTGTTTCTATACACTAATAATGAACTACCAGAAAGAGAAATTAAGAGATCATAGCTACAATGACATTAAAAAAGATAAAATACCAAAGAATAAAATTAATCAAAGAGGTGAAAGGTCTGTATAAGACACTGAAGAAAGAAACTGAGGACAACACAAATAAATGGAACGATATGCTGCACTCATGGACTGGAGGAATTGATTTTGTTAAAATGTCCACACTACCTATAGCAATCTACAGATTCAGTGCAATCCCTATCAAAACATGAATGACATTTTTCATAGAATTATAACAAATAATCCTAAAATGCATACAGAATCACAAAACACACCAAATAGCCAAAGCAATAACAAAACCAGGTGTATCATACTTCTTGATTTCAAACTACACTACAAAGATACAGTAATCAAAATGGTATGATACTGGAACAAAAACAGAAATATAAATCTATGGAACAGAACAGAAAGTCCGGATATGAATATACACATATATGGCCAATTAATTTATGACACGTGAAGAAAGAACATACAATGGGAATGGATAGTCTTTTCAATAAACCAAGTGAAAGGATGAAACTGGACTATTATCTTGCTCCATACACAAAAATTAACTAAAAATGTATTAAAGACATGAATATAAGATTTGAAACTATAAAACTCCTAGAAAAACATAGACATTATTCTTAGTGATTTTTTTGATATTTTTACCTCCTCAGGCAAAAGCATAAAAGCAAAATTTTTAAATTTTTTAAAATGTTTATTTATTTTTGAGAAAGAGAGAGAGAGAGAGAGCAAAGTAAGGTGAGGGGCAGGGAGAGAGGGAGACACAGAATCCGAAGCAGGCTCCAGGCTCTGAGCTGTCAGCACAGAGCCCTACACAGGGCTCAAACTCATGAACTGTGATATCATGACCTGAGCTGAAGTCAGATGCTAAACTAAGTGAGCCACCCAGGCACCCCGAAAAGCAAACTTTAAAAAAAATAATGGGATTTTGAGGCCCCTGGGTGTCTCAGTTAGTTAAGAGTCCGACTCTTGATCTCAGGTCAGGTCATGATCTCATGGTAAATGGGTTCGAGCTCTGCATCCACCTGTGCACTGATAGTGGAGAGCATGATTGAGATTCTGTCTCCCTCTCTCTGCCCCTTCTCCCCACCCCTGTCTCTCAAAATAAATAAGTAAACTTAAAAATAATGGACCTACATCAAACTATAAAACCTTTGCACAGTGAAGGCAACTATCAACAAAATGAAAAGTCAACCTACTGAATAAGAGAAGTTACTTGCAAATGATATATCTGATGAGGGGTTATATGCAAAATATATAAAGAACTCATACAACTCAATAACAAAAACAACAACAACAACAGCAACAACAGCAAAACATAACCCGATTAAAACAAAAGTGGAGAGAAGACTTGAAGAAACTCATTTCCAAAGACACACAGCCAACAAGCACATTAGAAGATGTTCAACATCACTAATCATCATAAAAATGCACATCAAAAACACAATGAGATACCACTTCATACCTGTCAGAATAGCTATTATCAAAAGGACAAGAAATAACAAGTGTTGGCAAAGATATGAGAAAAGGGAACTCTCATGTACTGTTGGTGGATAAACTGGTACAGCTGTTATGAAAACAATATGGTTGGGTACCTGGATGGCTCAGTCGGTTAAGCACCCGACTTCGGCTCAGGTCATGATCTCACCACTCATTAGTTCCAGCCCCGCGTTGGGCTCTGTGCTAAAAGCACAGAGCCTGGAGCCTCCTTCAAGTTCTGTGTCTCCCTCTCTCTCTGCCCCTCTCCCACTCATGCTCTGCCTCTTTGTCTCAAAAATAAACGTTAAAAAAATTAAAAAGAAATAAAAAGAAAACAACATGGGGATTCCTCAAAAAATTAAAGAACAGAACTACCATAATGTCTAGCAATTCCTCTTCTGGGTATTTACCCAAAAAAGGGTGAAAACACTTTTGAAAAGATCTTTATGTTCATTGCAGCATTATTGACAATAACTAAGATAAAGCAGCAGCCTAAGTGTCCATCATTAGATGAAAAGTTATAAAATATGTTATATGTTATACTATATATATGTTATATACTATAAAGATATGTATGTATGTATATATATATATATATTTATTTATGTGATACATATGGTATATGCCTGGTATATATGTATATGTGTATGTTTGTGCGTGTGCATGTGTGTATATGTGTATACACACATGGAATATTAGCCATAAGAAAATGAAAGCTTGTCATTTGTGACAATGTGGATAGACCTAAAGCGTAGTATACTAAATGAAATAAGTCTGACAGAGAAAGACAAATATGATTTCACTTATATGTGGAATTAAAAAAAATAAAACAGAAAACAGAAACAGGCTAAATGATACAGAGAATAAACTAGCAGTTGTCAAAGAGCTGGGAGCCAGGGAAATAGGTGAAATAAGTGAAGGGGACTAAAAGGTATCAACTTACAGTTATAAAATGAATAAGTCAGGGGGATGCAATATAATCAATAATATTGTAATGAGTTTGTACAGTGACAGATGGTAACTTGACCTATTGTGGTGATCATTTCATAATGTATAAAAATATTGACTATCTTTTGCACTTGAAACTAATATAATATTGTATGTCAAAGTTTCATAAAAAATTCCTTCATTTCCATCTCCCTCAAATATTTTATTAGAAGTCACAATTACTTACGATGTTCAGTGCTATTTGTCAGTGCCTATTACATGGCTTTTCTAATGAAAATAGAAAAATATATGCTATTTTAGATGTGTCTGGATTCCAATAATGTGGATACTTGATTTAACATCCGTTTTGTCAATCTATGGATATTTGTATAGACTCTGGGTGTGACAATACAAATATGTGATGTAAGTGATCATTACCTTTGCAATTTTTAGCTTTGATAAGACACAGGAAAGACTATCATGGACTAATGAGTGGTGTGCGTGTGCACGTGTGTGTGCATGTGTGTAGAGAAAAGGAGAGTAATAATATGTATTAATATTATATGTATATTATATGTATAATGCACATATAAGGTAGAAAAGATGCCAGCCATAGGGAATAGTGTATAGCCAGAGTCATAGCCCTATCTGAACAACATCAAACATCTGGTGAGATTAAGTTATATATACATATATGCAATTTACATATTATATATAGAATTTAGAAATACTTTATATTATATCATACATATGATATATAAATATATATAATTTACTCACTAAACAGTAAAAGACAAATCCAAAACTGCACACAAGGATTCACATCTTCTGGCACCCTGTATCTTTTCTTACTTCATCTCCTGCTAGCTCTGTCCCAGCTGTCTGGTCTTAGGGCACCTCAGACACACTTCTGCCTAAGGACTTGGTATTCCAGCATCAGAGGTGCTTCTCACCCTGACTTCTCCAAGGCTTTCTCCCTCTCCTGTGGTTTTCCCACTGAGACCTTGTCTGTCCACTCTATGATTTGAGTAACCAATTCTCACCCTTGCCCCTCTCTCCTCACCGTGCCCTCTGCTCCTTCAGGATTTTATTTTTCTCCTTAGCTCTTGTACTTGCACTACCTGATATACATATCTGAATTACAGATTTGTTTTTTTCAATCCCTCAAGTAGAATGTCATTTTTATGAGGACAGGGATATTGTTTATTTTATTCATTGTTGAATTCTTATATCTAGAACGATGCCTGGGATAGAGGAGAGTCTAATATATATGTATGGAACAAATGATTGATAACAATCAAAGTGATATCTATAAAACCTTTTAACATTATTTTATTGTGTCAACAAAATCAACTATGAAACTCAAGGGTGAAGTATGTCTTTCATACACATACTAAAATAAATGGAAACAGATACAACCTGTAGGAAACAAAACTTAGTTAACTGTCTAGTGTTTCATATACCCATAACAGGGTGATAATGACTTTGTAACTTGAATGTGTAATTTTTTATTCTTATAATCACGGGCTTTATGATATTCAGGTTCAGAGGGTTCATACATTCAGTTTTATCTTGTTTTCTCAAACATATCCAGTTCCTCAGAGTTTTCTGCAATAATAAAGAATGCTCACTGTGCATATAAACCAAAATTCTCTAAAAGTACCTTTGA